CCATGAGCATATATAGTAGCTGGTCCGTAAGTGATAAAAGTCAGATATTTGGAATGAAAGATTTGAAAGAAAAAGAAGAATGAAGACCGTGTAAAAGAAAATAGAGGAGAAGAGTGATAATATTCTGTTTTTGGATTAGAGAGGAAGAGATTTGACTCTGCTACCCTTAGCAAAGTATTTCTCTTGTTAACACATCTAGTCTCTTTTTGGGCATTAAAAAGTTCTACTAGAAAGTGTCTTTCCCTCTGTTTCCGCCCACTTTTGGATGGAACTGAAACTTAACATTGTGTGCATAACCTTATCCCTCTCCTTCTCTCCCAAAAAGTCATTCTAAAACCAATTAACTAAACTCACCCCTTTTTTCTCTTTTCCTTTCTCTCCCTTCCCCTCCATCCAAAAGATCCATAAATTACTGTTTCTTGCCAACTATTCTTGTGGTCTAGGTTTTCTTAATCTGTCTTCTTTTGGACAAAAAGATTAATATGGACCACTGGTGATGGTCTTCGTTTCTGCAAAGGTTGTTTGTCTAACTTTTTAATTTAGGGTCATCTCGAGTTAAGTTGTACAATGGAGCCTTTTACTATACTTCTTAAGGATTCTACGGTAGCTTTAGTGTAAAAATTAACATGCACTAGTACTTTTCCTTTCTTTTTTCTCCAATAAATAACATGCACTCTCGTCGTTGTGATGCACCAGGAAGTAAGAATCCTTGAATTTGTGGCACTCATTTGAACAATAATTAATATTATGTAATTACCTAATTTTTAAGGATACTCCCCGTGCTTGCACAAGAGTATGAAGCAAAGGGAATGGTTCATTGATGTAGCCTCCTATGGCCCGAAGTAGGGAAGAAAAAGGGGACTTGTTGCAAAACATGAGACTTTGTGTCCAAGTTTTAGAATTGGGAAGAAACAGAAGACTTGGCACAAAACATGAGACCCTGTGTCCAAGTTTGACTTATGCTATGTCTTATAATGTTAGACTTAAAGAAAGTTCTTTGTTGTATGCATACCTGAATGATAGAGACCGAGATGAATTTTCACCTATGTACAGCAATATTCTTCACTCACTTATTTTTCGAAAGTGAATATAACATGCATAGGATACGGGTTGTATTTATAATGTCCTGATTTTACTTTTACCTATGTTTATTCCCCGTGACTAATATTTTATTGAGCCCTTTTTGGTTATGGCATAGAGTATGGATTTGTGTTCATAATGTCTGATCTTTACTTTTTACCTATGTTTCTTCCCTGTGACTAGTTTAATATGTTGAGCCTTGTTTTCTTTCATCTTACGAGTAAAACTTGTTGCAGCACTCTCTGGTTTTTTCTCTATCATTTAGGCTTTCTAGTACCAATTCACCATGTTTTCTTGACTTATCAATTACTGACATAGTAACTACTTTATTCATATGAGATCTCAAATATTCCAACTTGTGAGTTGATGACTGTTAGAATTTGACAGCGCTCCTGCTATTGAAGACTTGAAACAGTGTCTCGAGTATACCGGGCAACATTCGAAGCTGGTAGATTCTTTTATCTCATCATTGAGATATAGATTACTAACAGCTGGTGCCTCGACCAATGATATATTGCACCAGTATGTTTCAACAATCAAAGCACTTCGAACTATAGATCCTGCAGGTATTTTTCTTGAAGCTGTTGGTGAACCAATAAGGGAATACCTAAGGGGGAGAAAAGATACAATTAAATGCATTGTGACCATGCTTACTGATGGAACTGGTGGAAATACCAACGGACCTGGCAGTTCTGGAGATAGCCTGCTGGAAGAATTGAATAGAGATGAAGAGAGTCAAGAAAACACTATTGTGGATGATGATATTAACTCCGACGACAAGCAAGCATGGATTAATGCACAAAAGTACGCCATCTTTGTCACTACTGTTTTGGAAATGATTGGAGGACATACTTATATTGTATTTATATCTTATGTATATATCTTTTATGATCCGAAATCTTTAAGCTGGGAGCCTGACCCTGTAGAGGCAGATCCATCCAAGGGAAGCAGATACCGAAGAAAGGTTGACATACTTGGTATGGTAGTTGGCATAATTGGTTCCAAAGATCAGCTGGTTAGTGAATATCGTGTAATGCTCGCTGAAAAGCTTTTGAACAAATCTGATTATGACATTGATGCGGAAATACGTACTCTAGAACTTCTCAAGGTAACGGGTCAAACCAATGCTCTATCGTTTCAAATCTGTCACATGATGTATTTGAAAACAGACACCTTTTCTGCTATATGATTTCATCTTCATTTACATTGTCAGCTTGACTTTACTATCATTTGCAGATTCATTTTGGAGAAAGCAGCATGCAGAAATGTGAAATAATGCTTAATGATTTGATTGACTCAAAGAGGACAAATGCAAATATAAAGGCCACTATCAAGCATCAACCACAGCCAGGTAATGTTTGCAACTCATTTGTCCTGTTCTTGAGCTTCCCATTCTTTTATGTAGTCTCAATTTTTACTGGTTTTATTCAAATACAGAGCGAAGAGACCTCGAGGTATCTTTGGACAATCTTAATGCTACCATCATATCTTCAAATTTCTGGCCTCCTATTCAGGTATGTTTTTATTCTTCCATTTACTGATATAATCATTTGTTTACCAGCTATGTTGGTAAAATCTTTTAGTTATCTAGTGGAGCATCTTGAGCCAATTTGGGCTAGTAATCTTTTACCCTACAGAAGTTAAATGTGAAAAAATAAAAAATTAACTGTGCAAGAATATTTCAAACTGAACTGCTTTATTTTTATTTTCTGCGATATTAATTGTGGTTTCTTTCTTCCAATATAATCATAAATGAAAAAAGTTCTGAATCCTTGACACTCACAATTCATGGTCTTATTCTGAATGTCCCCTTTGATATCCTTGATGTGTTCACAAATCTTTCCTTTATGATTTCCTATTGTCATTGCCTCTGCCTTTGGACGTCCTACAAAGATTTAAGAAGCTGTTGTATCTGTAGCATGGTGTCCACAGATGACTAGCTATTTTTCTTTCATGGAGATTGCAGATGTTATGTATGAGTTGATGTAAATTATGAAGAGATGCCTTTGTAGGTCTGGGGATTAACCCCCTCTGCACTTCACTTGGAGAAAAGAAAAAAACCGAGAAAGGAAATTAGATTTTAGAACATCCTTTTTAAATTTTGATGACAGAGAAATGATTGTTGTTTTCTCGTGGGTCCCTCCCCCATCCAAACCCCAATCATCCTTGGGATAGGCCTTCGTTTAGTAGTGTCAATTGTTTGCCTTTTGCATAGCTTTCTTTGTTTTGTTTTTATTTGTTTTTGCTGGTCAAGTAACAAAAGTCTGGTGATTTGATGGTAGGATGAGGCAGTCAACTTACCAGAGCCTGTCGAGCAACTCCTGACTGATTATGCTAAAAGGTATACTGAAATTAAGACACCACGTAAGCTAATGTGGAAGAAAAATCTGGGCAGTGTAAAGGTTAGTCACTGTACAGTGTATTTGGGACTTGTGTTGTCTTTCAAAATAGTCTACACGAACAGCTGATTTAAATCTCTAGGTCTGAGCTCTCTGTTCCCTGCATCCTTTGCTATGCCCAAATGACTGACTGTGTTTTTACTGCTATTTTATTGGTAGTTGGAGCTCCAGTTTGAAGATAGAGCAATGCAGTTCAATGTTACTCCTTTGCATGCTTCAATTATTATGCAGTTTCAAGATCAGAAAAGGTAACTTTGGGGAACATCTTTGTAGTTTCATTTAATGCATTGTTTCCGAGAACTTCTTGTCAGTGCTGTAAAGGGTATGTACACCTCATGTTGCAGATGGACATCTAAGAACCTTGCAGCTGCAGTTGGAGTAGCTGTTGATGTGTTGAATAGGAGAATAAATTTTTGGATAAGCAAGGTTAGTTCCTGCAACTTTAATTTCATCAGTATATGGTTCTCTGGTGAAAATATTTATTTGATCTTTTTTCTTTCACTTGGTTGACTAGGGAGTTCTGGTGGAGTCAACTGGGGCAGACTCTGCTGATCATGTTTTTACTCTGGTGGAAACCATTAACGATACAGGTAAAAGTGGAACTATTGATGGAGGCTGTGAGGAGCTATTGGCAGGTGATGAGGACGGAGAACAGTCTGTGGCCTCTGTTGAAGATCAATTGCGAAAAGAGATGACTGTCTATGAGGTATACCATTTGAGTTCCTTTTTCTTTCTTTTGCATATAAATGGATCTCGTATGTATCTGTTTCTGATACACTCTCTTATCAGTGGTCAACATGTAAATACACAAAGCTTTTCTTTTCTTAAAAGCTGTTTTTGGTGTATTCTTATGATCATGGTAGCTCTGGTTTTCAAACTATTAAGTTGCATTAACATCACGATAAAGTAAGCCTGCAATCTTCTCTTTGCTAGTGAGGTACCTAGGTGTTTGAAATATTGTGCATAATTCCCTTAGTGATATGGAAAATAATTACCCATGGGTTTCAGAAGCTTAAACATCAGTTGACAGGAAACTCCATGTGAACCTTTTTGCAAGGCAGGACACAGAGATGGTAGCCTCTTGTGTGGCTTTGTTTATCTCATCATTATCAAACCTACCACCAATTGGATGTCTATTGTTCAAGTCCAAAATGTGTTTAATATTTTATTAACAAATTGTAAATTGGGCAGCGCTAGGTAGTTCATTGTTCTAAGGACAGAAACCATCTCGCAAATAACTAAGGACAAAATAACAGAAAAGAAAACACTAGTGGTTTTCTTTCTTTTCTAAACAAGGTGCTTGTATTGGCTGCAGAAATTTATCACTGGGATGCTTACCAATTTTGGCAGCATGGCATTGGACCGTATTCATAATACTCTCAAGGTAATTATTAGTTTTATAACTTGTGAATAATTATCAGTAATTGGAAACTATGTTGTGGCACGAGGCAATGAAATACCAAAGAATTAGTAGTACTAAATTATTGCTGCAGATGTTTTGCATTGCTGATCCTCCTTATGACAAATCGCTGCAACAACTGCAAAGCTTCTTATCTGGTCTAGTTGCTGAGGAGAAGTTAGAACTAAGAGAGGGAGTGTACATTTTGAGAAAGTGATCAATTCCATCCATGTGGTCTTGGTGGCATACATCTTATCGCCACTTTTCTCACACCGATGAAATGCAATACTGAGTTAAGAAGGAAATAACAACATTTGGCTACAGGGAGATCTCCTTTTCTCTTCTCGTTTCAGGTGCAAGTTACGTGTAAACTCCTTGCATTCAATCATTTGTTGTGCTATTTAACCAAGCTGAGGGTAACTGCAAATTAAGATGGTTCCTGTGGGTTAGAATGTCTCATTGTGCAAGAGTGTTGTTAATAGTTATTAGTCCTTCGCGAGGTCAAGAGATAAAGCAGCCAAGAGAAGATGTTGACATCTGGCGCTGGTTAGATTTTTTTTTATATAACCAAGAAATTTCATAAGGGCAGTGGCATATGGTTCGAAATTCGGTGGGTAATGGGTTTGCCCCTCTATCATTCTCCACATAAATATCAAGCTTTTGTCTGTGACAGTTCGAGTCCGTGATGTGCGCCTAAACCAAACATCGAGTATTTTGCCCTTAACAGTTTACTTATTTGCTGTATGTGATGTAAACCAAATTGATGCCCTTCTGATTTGAAAAGAAAGGGAGTTCCATTGTTTATTTGGTGTATATGATGTAAACTGCATATATTGCCTTTTCGATTCAAAAGGAAAGGGAGTACCATTGTTATCTAAAACCATATGTTTTACCGTTTAATTTTCTCATGGTTTTTCAGAATTAGCAAGTTCTTATTTTTTCTTTTTTCTTTTTTCCTCTCAATACAGAGGTATCAACTTGTGGTTTTTCATTTACTCTTAATGTGACTCAAACTATAGACTCATAGGTTGGAGGGAATGTGGCTTATAAGTGAGCCAGGTTCCTCTCGCCAGTGAGCTACTTTTCAGAATCTCAGTCGATATATGTTGTACTTAATTAATCTCGGTTCAGTTTATTTTCATTCCCTTGTAGAATCCAAGAAGCAAAAGATGTTTCTCTATAGTAGAAGATGTGGCCTTTTTGGTGCTTTAAGTTCATATCTTATCGTCCTTTATCTCAGCTTTATCCAAAAATAACTTTAAAACGGCTTCCTGATAAAATGGGCGTGAAACTAGCTGATAACTTTGATGGTGAACTAAAATCGAGGAAAGAATTAAAAAGTTAGAAGGAGAAAAAAATTTAAAATAGGAATTTGTGAATTTGTGGAGTTGGTTACAATATACTATAGGGTATAAGCCTTGTTATCATTGTCATTAGATAAAATCTAAAATCTCATTTTAACTAGGATCTAAAGAAATTTTAATCACTTTGGAATCCTGAGGATGATTCTTCATTCTTGGACAAAAAATACAATTGGCTGGTCAGCTGAAACTAATTACGTTTTCGAGCTAAAAAGTATATAAAATGTGTATAATATACATATATACAAAAATTAAATATTTTATTTGCTATTATTTTTGGAACGGTTAAAATTATACATTTCCCTTCTTTGTTTATATTAGATATATTTGGATGCCTGGCCTATGACCTTTTTTGTATTAATCATAAAAAGGAATAGTTTGGTAAAAAAGTAAAAACAACGTAGCCGTTAGCACCTGTCCCGTGAGTGAGTAAATACGACCGTTACATTTCCATCTCATTCAAATAGTTCCAACAAGAGAACCAAAACACACACACTGTCACACACAGAGAGTTGGTTGCAGAAAAAATGGAGGAAGAAGAAGAGAGAATGCAAAATCTCAGATCCAAAGCCACAGAACTTCTACTCAGAAAAGAATTTAAAGACTCCATAAAAACCTACACTGAATACATCTCCCTTTGCCACAACCAAATCTCAAACACCCACAAAAATCTTGATTCAAATAACCTCTCAAAACTCAAAAAATCCCTCTGTTTAGCTCTCTGTAATCGCGCCGAAGCCCATTTAAATCTTCAAGAATTTCCTCAAGCTTTAAAAGATTGTAACGAAGCATCCGAAATCGAAAACACCCATTTCAAGACTCTCCTTTGTAAAGGTAAGATTTTGCTCAGTCTAAATCAATATGGATTAGCCTTAGACTGTTTTAAACAAGCAAGTCTTGATCCCAATGAGTTTGAAAATTCTGAAACTCTTAATGGGTATTTAGAAAAGTGTAAAAAGCTTGAATTTTTATCAAGAACTGGTGCTTTTGATATATCAGATTGGGTACTCAATAAATTCCAAGGAAAATCCCCTGAGTTAGCAGAATACATTGGTCCAATAGAGATCAAAAAGTCTGAAATTAGTGGGCGTGGATTGTTTGTAACAAAGAATGTTGATTGTGGGAGTTTGATTTTAGTTACTAAAGCTGTTGCTATTGAAAGGGCTATAGTACCTGAATCCATTTTCCAAGATTCTAAGGAACAAGCTCAGTTAGATATGTGGAAAAGTTTTATTGAAAAAATTGTGAAATCTGCTAAAAAATGTAATCGAACGCGCGATTTGATTTTTAAGTTATCAGCTGGTGAAAATGAGGATGATTTTGAGGTTCCTGACATTGATTTATTTAGGCCTGAGGCCGAGGATTGTAAGTTTTATGATAAGAATATTGACATGAAAAAGTTGCTAAACATACTTGATGTGAACTCTCTTGTTGAGGAGTTGGTTTCATCAAAAGTTGATGGGAAAAACAGTGATGTACATGGCATTGGTCTTTGGCTTTTGGCTTCTTTGATAAACCATTCTTGTGATCCCAACGTGAGGCGATCCCACGTTGGCGATCACATGTTGATCCATGCTTCTAGAGACATAAAAGCAGGTGAAGAGCTCACATTGGCCTATTTTGATGTGTTTTCGCCCTATAGGAGTCGCGAAGAGAAGGCGAAAAATTGGGGCTTTATTTGTAAATGCAAAAGGTGTAAACTTGAAAATGGTGTTGGTTCAAAGCAAGAAATGATGGAATTTGAGATGTTTGTTGGGAAAGGAGTAGATATGGGAGGTGTAGTTTATAGATTAGAAGAAGGTATGAGGAGATGGATGGTGAGAGGAAAAGGTAAAGGGTATTTGAGAGCATCATTTTGGAAAGTGTATTCTGAAGTTTATGAGTCAGAAAGGTTAATAAGGAAATGGGGAAGCAAGATTCCAATTATGGAAAGTGTGGTTGATAGTGTTGTGGATGCAGTAGGAAGTGATGAGAGAATTGTGAAGGTGTTGATGAGAGGATTGAAGAGAAAGGGAAATGGTGGTAATGGAATTTTAGAGATGGAAAAAGCAATGAAATTGGGAAGAGGATTGTATGGGAAAGTAATGAAGAAACAAACATTGAGGACTATATTATTTCAGCTTGGCAACTAATTGCAAAAGGGCTATTACTGATAGCCTATTTTCAAGATTAATCAAGTTGAGTTATTTTTTTATTTTTAAGTTCAAAATGTATCTCACGATTAGTTCTTTTTTATTTATTTAAATTCCAGCTTTTTATTTTTCATTTTACAAAAAGTTATGGAGGATGTGCTTGTAGAAATAAGTTGAAATTCATTCTTGTCCAATTCTAGCTATTTTAGAAGTTGAGGTGTTCTTACCAATGCTTACTTATAAGCAAAAAAATAAAATAGAGGAAAGGAGTTCCAAATAAACAATCTTTAGAAGAAGCGAGGCTTAAGTGAGTCTTACCCGCCAGCTTTCATTGGTCGTTAAGATGTATTGCTTTCATTGGTCGTTAAGATGTATTCTTAATATTCTTATATCTACAACTGTGACAATGGGTGCGTACGTAATTTGATAATACAATCAGATCTCTTTATAACAGTCTCGTTTGAACCGATAGTTTTTGGCTGTTATAACGAAATACTGTTATAAAGAACATACTATATTTTAACATAACATGAGAAATTAGTAATAAAGAAAAGTTGATCGTTATAGTGAAGCGCTGTTATAAAAAAGTTTGACTGTATAGTACTTTTTCTGCACATGAATTTCGCTTTTACTTAAGAATGCCAGCTATTAAACACTGCACATTATCTGAAAGGCCCAATTGGCTCCAAAGGCAAGAAGTCAAGGCTGAAAATTGTGGGAGATATTAAAAAATAGTCAGATTTACAATTGGTCATTCAAAAATAACCCAATTTTAAAAGTAATCGAAATTTAGCCATTTTTCATGTAAAGATAAATTTAAGCGAAAACACTGTTCAAAACCCGAAAAATACGCCAGTACATTTATTATACTGGAGTTCCAGGATAAGTATGCTGGAACTCCAGCATAATATGATGGAGTTCCAACATAAGTACACTAGAATTCCAGCAAGTATAATTGTGCAGTATAATATACTGGAGTTTGGAGCATCGGTGCTCCCGTCTTCAGTATATTATATTGGAGTCAGCAAAGTATATCGCTCCAGCATAATATGCTGGAGTTCATACACAGGTGCACCGAACTCCAGTATAATAATGTTGGACCGATCTCTGTTGCAGCAAAATAGTGACTATTTTTTATTGACTTCGTAAACGCTGACTATTTTTGAATAATCAGTTCGAAAACTGGCTATACCGTGCTATTTTGTCCTGAAAATTTTGACATCGGTTTCAACTTCTCATCTTTTGGGCTCTATTCAAAGGTCCAAAATAGAATAGTGTTATTAAGAAGAAATATGGGGTAAAGACCTACTCGCAATGAGTGTTTACATTATATCGATAGATGTACAATATGTGTTTGCACATAGGCTGATAACGCTCACAATAACACTCAGTGCAAGGGAAACGTCCAAGTTGATATCAAGTCATTAGAGTGCTTTAAAGGGACACAAAGGCCAAGCTTATCGGTATGGCGGCTCATAGGTCAAGTCATACTCTATAATAATCCAGCATGATAAACACCACTTATCCAAATTTTCTTATTCTATTGGCTTGATTAATTAATTTTTTAATATTAGGAGGGTATATTCTGTAGGTCCTCATTAGTAATGGGTATGAATGCTTTGAGCCACTAAAATACAATGGCATCATCCATGACAAACTTGCACACCTAATCAAGCCAATTTTTTAATTGCTAGATAAACTTCAACCAACCCCTAAAGCTAAAACTAGAAAAAGTTAGTTTTTTGACAAAGTTTTCACAAGGAAATGAATGAAATTCCTCAATTATTTATTATAACGATGGTATTAACAAAAATAATTAAAGAAGAAAACATGCAAGCCCCTTGGTCATGTTGATCAAAATGACTAATTAAGACTAGTAATTTAAATCTATTGGCTCAACTAATTCAATTTTTTTTTTTGTGTGTGTTGNTCAAAGTACGAACGCGAAACATTTTGATTAAGAATGAAGCGATCTCAATCATCCCAATAAAACTCTAGCCGGTCGCAACCAATTAGTTGTAACTTTATTTTTGATTACTAAAGCTTTAGACCAACCAAAAGCATTTTTCACTCTTATTTTTCGTTTTTTCCACCATTCACAAGCCCACCACAAGTAGAAAAAGAGATGAGAGAGATAGGTTTCTTGATTTGCAAATTAACCCTAGAAACGAAACCTCTAGTCAAACACGTTGCTTTTTCTTTGTTTTTCAAATGCAGTGGACCACAAAATGACTGCTTCATATTGCAATATATACTATCCACGTTGAGCATTTATGTCTCTACAATTTACTTTTTATTACTACTAATTATGTTTTGTAGATAAACTTTAAAGAAAGATATGCAAGGTGTTGTCGTAATCCTTTGTTTTGTTCTCATCCAAAACCCCCTAATTATTGGGAGACAAAAC